GTGAGAAAGAAAGGCTTCACCTCACATCCTAAGGAGCCCACACGAGTAAGTGCCACAAAAGGTTCCCTGCTGCACCAATCTACCTTGAAGAAGTTGGTTCCTGCATTTCAGCAACCCACTGGTAGATGAATTAAAACCCACTGGAAAAGTTGAGAGCTCAGGAAAAGAAAAATGGCCGTTTTTGAAATTCCTGTTTCTGACTGGTTTCAAATGGAGGACCCTTCACGCACAACGCAAACATAACCCTTCAGGAGCCAAGTGTGGCAGAACGCAAACAGGAACTTTCATTTTTAAGCTGGTTGCTGTGCCTGCATACTTGCACTTTTTGATGCCTTATCTTTGTAAAAGGCATTATGTTTTTTAACAAGTATATCTATGTAATGAACAAAAACGAAGTTCTGTTTGATGATATAGAAATGTCAGCATGAAAAAGCGGGTGTATCCATCAGGTCAGTTAAAGATCTAGTGAGTCATGTGAACTCACCCCCTTGGGGAAATCAATAGGTCAGTGGAAAGGTTCAGTTCAGCAACCAAGATAAAATATTTAGGGAGGGCAGCGGCCAGCGGGGCGGCGGGGGGGTCCTGCCACGGCACAGGCTAGCCCATCGGGATGGAGGCATTTGCCTGCAATGCTATGAAGCACAGCAGACAAGCCAGTCATTGTCCTCTCTTCTGTCAGAAAGCAGAAAGGCTATGTTGAGGTGATGCAGGAAAACACGCGCAGAGGACACGTTCGCTGTAGGCCAAGGGTGGATTGAGGTAAACATCACCCATTCCTGCCCTTAATCCATCCCTTTTCTCACACTGCTGCTGCAGCAACGGGAAATGGGGCGCTTGGAATCTTCTATGCTAGCTGTCTGCAGGGTGAGCAAGGCAACCCTTTCTTGATTTAATACAACAGTTTAATCAGCAGGAACCATACAACCACTTCTTACCAGTCCTTCCACCCAGTGTCGGGCAAACTCTGCCATGCTGCAAGTCTAAGAGCCTGAACTCCCCATAACACACAATGATGAGTGGGGTCAGCCAACCAAGGATTGGACCTGGTCCTTGGGGAGCTGGGAAGTAGGCACCATGTTGGAAAGACGTTACTGTCCCCCTGTTAAGCCTGAAGCTTGGCATTCTCTGTTGTTGAGCAAACTTCTAGCAGAGATCCCATTCAGTATCTGCTCTCTGTTTGCAGAGCCATCAGATGCAGAGATTGATTGGACAGTGAGGAAGGGAAGGCATGAGACGTACACTGGGGAGCAACACAGGCTTACCAGAGGCCTGGCAGTGAATGACCAGGATGTTGGCCATTTCGGCAAACTTGACACTGGCAGGGGTCTTCTTGATCTCTTTGAGAAATTCCCCCAGAGCCACTTCACACCTGGAGGACAAGGGCCAGGAATGAAAAGAGCACAGAACAAAGCTGAAGCTTCTCACACACAACCCGCTCCCTGCACAGCACCATGGGTTTTCTTCTGGAGTTCTGAAGGAAAGGGTGAGAATGCAGCTTGCACCTGTGGCTCAGGAAACAGGTACATGGTCAAGGGGACGTCCACGCCGTCCTACCACGCACAGGCACGAGGGCAACCAGCTGCTCTGTGGGCTCACCTATAGGACGGCTTAGGGGCAAAGCAAAGCACTGTCCATTTCAAACAACTAACTCACAGACTGTGCTGCTTGAGGGATGCTGACAATTCCAGCTCCCCAGCTGCTAGTACAGCCGGATGCTGCAGTCTTCCTTGGAGCAGCCCACGACCACAAGACACATTTCAAAAAGTTCTCTGGACCAAAGAGTTGCACACCACACACACACCCCTCAATTGCCAGAAACACATTCCCAGACCCAATAGTGTTCTCACATTTTACGGATCTCTTTGCTGTTATCGCCCAGGATCTGGAAGAGTCCATCTAGAATCTCTGGCAGGTAATCCAGGAGATTAATGTCAGGAACAGATTCCAGCACCAAAATCTAGCCCGGAAGGAAGCAAAGCCGCAGAGTTAGAGGCTTGCGCTTTGCAGCAGCGCAAGAGTTCAGGGGGGGCTGGCGACAGCCACATCACCAGAAAGGGGCACAGGAGACGTGGGTTCAGTCCCCACTTAGCCAAAGAGCTCCCTGGCTGACTCTGGGCCAGCCACGTTCCCGCTCCGCAGAGCTGCTGCTATGGGGAGTTGTGGAGTCCTCAGGAACAAGGCACAGTGCAAGAGTTAAATAAATCATTCAGAGCTGGCTGCTGCCATCTTGGCTGGACTTTGACAAAGCAGCAATTAGCTTCACATGCTGCATAAGCCATAATGTAAACTGTTTGGTTTATCAACTCATCTGGACCCAGCCACTGTAGTTTGTAAACTGTGGCTTATTGCTTAATGTTGCACATGAACTTCTATAACATCTCTCCCTCTGTGCTGGAGAAATCAGGATTAAAAGTGAAATGGGACTCCTCTTTTTTTGGTCTTCCTACCTTGTAAAAGCGATTTGTTGGTCGCTGTTTAAGTTGGTCCTAACTCAGGACTGTGAGGCCACACACAAAACACACTATACCAAAATTAACAGGATTTAAGCACTTTATCTTTGTGAAGGTTCAGGAAGGGGCCCAGAGAAGATGCTGGCTTGGTTCCAAATGGCAAATGGCTGTCAAGGAGAAATGAGGCTGCCCAGAATATATACCCGGAATAACGGGAACCTGCCGCTCACCCAGGAAATGATGAACTGACGAGCATACTGGTTGTTGGAGTAAATCCGCTCACGCAGCAAGGGAATGAAGCTCACCAGGTCAAATCGGTTGCTTTCTGTCACGATGTCCTGCCGAGGCAGAGCAGCGGTGAGCAAGAGGAAGGAACCCTGAAGCCCAGCTCCCCTCCCCTTCACCCCGCCACAGATTCACCCCAAGAGGCAGGCGGGCCGCAGGGTCCCCAAAACGCTTTCATTCCGCCCCCCAGCTCAGGTCCAGAATAGGGGCACCCAGACCTCTCCCAATTCATCCCATTCCTTTTTTTGCCGACCCCTAAACTGTTTGCATCTTCACAAGGCTTTTCAGTTTAGACTGCTGGAGCAAAAAGGTTATATGTATAAGGGCTTCTCATACAAGGCTTTGCGCGACAGCTTCAACAATTGTGTTGTTTTGCTAGTTTTTCTTTTCTGTTCTATTTAGTTAAATTACTAAAGGCAAGAAACCTTTTTAAGCTCTAGCATTCAATCTCTTGAAGTTTAAAAAATTTAAAATGCTTCTTTTCATAGGATTTCTCTGAAGCTGGGAAAGCTTTGTCACTATTTGATACAGACTTATGACCATGCTAGTACTATAAAATGTCTTGCCTTGATTATTGTACAGTACTCTTTTGCTACATTTATTCTTTCAACAAAACTGTTATTTTTCAAATCCCTGCAAATACCTGATTTCTTTACAAAATTTACTTTTTCAAGCCTCAGCTTCTGACATGATTTAAATCAGGTGCTTGTGCAAAGGGAAGAACTTTCACGTGTTTTGGATACTCACAATCTGAACCAAAGCAACTAGATATGTGGCCACGTGCTGCCCTTTGTGCAGTTGAGAAACCTGTCAATAGACCAGGTATGGAGCGCATCGCTTGCGCCATCTCAGACCAGGAACGGCAGGACACAGCAGCAGCAATTCCTGCTGGGATCTATATGCTGTGGCCATCTTTCCGGCACTGGGCAGGACGGTGGAGGCGGCTGTCCATTTTAATTGTTTTTAAAACATTTATCTAATGCAGGGCTTTCACACCACCCCCATCTTCTCCTGGTTAATAAAGCCAGGGAATTTCTGAAGATGTCAGAGAAGCAAACGATGGTCCCAGAGGTGAGAAGAGGTGGAGGAGGTGACTTTGAAAGGACCAAGAGCACACGCAAGACACACAGGCATTAACGGGTCACAACACCTTTAACGGATCTTTCCGTATACAGTAATCACTTATACGTTTCTGCCTACGCTGAAAGCCAAGAGTGAAAATTCTGTATGAAAACCCAAACCCCACCATTTGATTCAGATTTGTGCCCCAAGAAAATCTCAGGCATTTCCCCTCTTCAGTCTCTCACTCCAGTCACCATCAGCTTTGCTGTACAAGAAGCAAGGCAGCAGTACCTTCAGAAGGCGATCAAGAAGTTCAGAGCCGCTTTTGACATTTGGATCTGGATCTGCAGCAAGCTGGGAAAAACAAAAGGCCAGAAAAGAAGCTGAGCCCAGGACACAACACATCGGCGAGGACGTGGACCTTCCGCTGCTCCCAAGATCCAGCTTGTTGCTGCGTCTTCCCCCTTGCTCGGTAAGGGAAGCCTTCGCCCTCGCATTCCATCCATCTTCAGAGGCCGCTGGGGAAGCGTTGGAACCCAAGACAGATCCCACCCCACAAGGGAAGCAGAGGCAGCCACTGGCGCCCTGGGCTGCTGCTGCTGCACGTGTAAATGCTGTGGAGCCAAAGCTTGTCATGGGGAAACAAGCACCAAGGATAGGAATGGTCTTCCTCAAGAAGGAGCCCTTCCCTTTCGTAACCATCTGCAAACTGTAGGAGGAACCAGCCACAGGCCTTCCCACAGGAACCCGCAGGCTCTGCTCACAAACTGTCCACTGTTACCTTGCTCAGGCCATCAAAGAGCACGTTGAAGTGTGGGAGGATGGAGCCCCTGGCCACCTTCACAATGTTGTACAGGGCCTCACAGGCATAATAGCGCAACCGGCTGTCAGCATCACTGAAGCATGTCAACACCGGCTCAATGAGCTCCTTCAGATACAGCCCAGAATCCTGGCAACCAAACCACAAAGGGAAGCATAAGGGACTGGGCTCCACCAAAGTCTCCTCTCATCGAGCATTGCACTGCAGCGGTACATGACCAGTCTCTTCCTTCTTGTGTTCCCCAATGCTAACTTCGCAGCCATCAAGACTCCTGGCCAAGATATGTCTCCTCCTTTCCCTAAGCTAAAGAGCCTCCCACCGCCCAATACCTTTGCCTCTGCAGGACATTCTTGACTGCTTCTGTTTACCTTTTTTTAGCATCCTTTCCAGCTCTATGATATGGTACTGCTGAGCCTAGAGCTTGACCTAACACGCCAACCACTAAAAGGAGTGCTCCTGCGGAATCTCCCCTCACAGAGGAGCTGAATCCTCAGATTAATGGCAATGAAAGGTGCAGTTAGCTATGCTTTTAGCCTGCCCCTCTTCCAGAGTTGCTGCTGTCCTCACTGGGTTCAGCATAGCTTCTCTGGTGTTTCTGAATCCTTCCTCACCATCCCAATTGCTGTTGGAGGCCTACTCTCAGGGCCACAATGGAAAAACAGCTTGATTCAGCAAAAAACAATGACTCAGAATCTCATTCCACAATTTCTCCCTTTTTGTTTACTGGAGCCTAGCTTAAGGTCAGCTTAGAAATAGAAATGTAACAGCGTGGTTTTTACTTTTCCTGTTACCACTGTAATTCTCAACAATTCCTTCCCTCTCAGGAAGAAGAGGACATGAAAAGAAACCTAATTTCCAGAGTTGGCTTTTGCCTTTCTGTCATAATCATGGACTTGCGATGAAAGACCTGTCCATTTTTTGCAAGCTTTCATAAGACTTACTATTTTAACAAAATACTAACAGCAGCTGGCTCACGTTTTAAATATAAAATATTTACTGATTTATTTATTTTACTGATATAGCCGCCCATCTCAAAACAGTGACTCTGGGAAGCTTACAACCTTTAAAAACCATACAAACAACATAATATGAAACATAAAGAACAGCCAAGAAGCCAAACTAATCTAGACAAATATCAACCACATTAAGGGCTCTAACATTCCAACTCCCATGTCCAATCTTCCTAAGGGTAGGCATAGAACCATAAAAGGCTCACTTCCTGAGAACCACAAGACAACATTCTTCGACTGATAGGACTTGCAGCATGCCTCTTCTGCTGGATTGAGCAGGATGGGTAGAAACCACCAAGGAGAAGTGGTCCTGCAAATGACCTGGCCCTATACCATGAACAGGTAACAACCAGCACCTTGAATTGAAACAGAAGCAGAGTGAAGGCCAACACAGCTTGCAGAGCAAAGGCGTAACATGCATGCATAAAAGTGCATTTATAACTGTCTATGCCACTGCATTCTGGATCAAGTGCAGCTTCTGAGTGACCTTCAAGAGCAGTCCTACATAGAACGTATTCCAGTAACCCATATAGGAGGTGACCAAGGCATGAGTGACTATGAGCAACGCCTGATGCAGGACAGGGCACAACTGGCAACAAGGCAAATCTGTGCAAAAACTCTCCGGTCATGCCGCCACCTGTTCCACAAACAGGAGCCGGAGGTCCAGGAGGACTCCCAAAATTGAAAACCAGTTCTGTTTGGGGTACTGTAACCCTATCCAGAACAAGAGATGGAAAACCAGGAATGGGAAGAACACCAAGCTCTGAGGTACCCCCAAAAGTAGGAGCTGTGGTCTATATCTTTCCCCCCTCCACATCAACAGAGGAAAGAGGAGAACCAATGTAACACTATTCCCTCCACAAGTCCTGAAATCAGTCCAGATACCATGATCCATGGTTTCAGAAGGCCACTGAGAGGTCAAGGAGAGCAAAAATGGATGACCACCCCCATCCTGCTCCCAACCAGAGGTCATCCATAGGCATAGTCAATGTTGTTTCAATCCTATATGAAGGCCTGGAACCAGACTGAAAGGGGTCCAGATAATCCATTTCCTCAGAGTTCTCTGAAGCTGTAGCATGGCCACTTTCTCAACAATTTTCCATAGAAAGAGAAGGATGGAGACAGGATGAAAGTTGTCTAACAAAGTTGGGACCAGCAATGACTTCTGTGGGGGGCACACCACCACTTTCAGAACTGGTTGGACCACCCCTTCTTCTCAAAGAAGAATTCATCACTGCTGCAGGACCCAACCTCATGTCACCTCCTAGGAAGGACATGAGTCAAAGGTACAGGTGACTGAGCTTACAATTCCAAGAACCTTGCCCACTTCCTCAGGACTAACAAGATCAAACTCTCCCCAGGTAACCTAGCCAGACTGTGCTTCAGACACCTACGTGGAATCTCCCTCATAGCTCCAATTTGGAGCAGATCTAAGTGACGTAATCCAACAGATGCCTAGCGTATGCCTCAAAGTGGCCCTGCAAGCAGACCTCCTCTACCTCTACCTTCCCAAGGAGGGTCAGGTCACTTTAAACAGGGTCACCAGATGGCTTCTGCAGATGCAACAACAGCTAATATTTATATATTATATATATATATAATTAAAATTATATACACAGTGCATTTGTAAAGTATTCAGACCCCCTTCACTTTTTTCAATTTTGTTGTGTTGCAGCCTGATACTACAATTGTTCAAATTCATTTTTTTTTCTCATTAATCTACACTCAGTACCCCATA